GTGGAATGAATCTGGTTTTTGAGTGAAGAAAAAACTCCTCGTCATTTTCCTCGACGCAGATTTCTCCTTAAGCGGGAAGTCTGAAAGAGCAATTCTTCTACTTTCTAAGAATGTCCACACTTTCCATCAATTGAGAATTAAGAAAGTTATCGTCTTGAAAACAGCTAAAATCCGCATGAAAAATTTGAGTTCCTCGACGTTTACTCGACGTGGAAAATCTCACTGAATAGAGAGTCTTTAGGGCAAGTTCAAAAATAATAAAAAACTGCAGTCGAAGCTCTTTCAAAACTTACCCGCCGTTTTCTAAAACATCAAGTTTTGAAAAAGTTATTAAGGTTTGAAGCATAAGGGGAGGAGGCAAATTTTCGAGATAAATCGCTCCAGCGCGTGAGCCGCGCCGCAGCCGCGTGAGGAAACAGCTGCTCCTTCAAATTCGGTGACTCTATCACTGTTACGTCCTATTTATCATTTTTTCTCATTGCTGTCAATCTTTCTTTCCGTTTCGTGTGTATTCGTGTAGAGTCGGTTCTCGTACAATAGTAGAGTTCTTTTTTTCAGGATCTTTGTGTAAATCGGTGTTTTAGCGCCGTAGTCGCCGCACAGAGGTGAGTTCTCCGTTCCTATTCAAAATTTTTCCCGTCGCTGTCAATCTTTGTTTCCGTAGCGTGTGTGTACGTGTAAAGTCGGTGCTCATACAATAGGAGAATGTTTGTGAGAGGGGTGTCATATCGAGACCCCGTTTTACGGATGGGGTCGTACCGAGACCCCCGTTTTAGGGGGGGGGGGTCGTTTCACAGTTGGGTTTTCCTCGACACGATTTTCACCCTGGTGACGAGCGGGTATATTGAAATGCAGACGAATTTCTTCGTTAAATTTCAGGTACTTCGGAAGATGGAGGTGGATTTTGGATCACCGAGGCTCAGCCTTTCTAAGTAAAGCTCATTTGTTCTCAAACAATTGAAATGAATAAGTTATTAAGCAAGAAATAAAATTGCACTACAATTTTTACCTTCCTCTTTCTAGGGCTATAACTTCCTTCATATTCGAGCTTTTGCGCCGAAGTGATTTGATTTGGAAAATTCAAATTATTCTCTCTCCAACCATGGTAAAAATTCTTCGAAAGTTAATTTAATAAAAATTTAGCACGTTGGAACTTTTTTCTGTGCAAATGCGACTTTTCAACCTTTAAACGATCATAACTTCTTCAAACTCATTCATTTGGGAAGCTGAACTCGGTATGAGAAACTACAGGATTCAAGCTTTCTAAAAAGTACCCGAAACAATCCCTGAAAATCAGCAGTTTAAAAATTAGTCCCGTTGCGACTTTTTTTGGGGAGTTGCGGAACTATTTTTCTGGAACCGCGACTTTTCAACCTTTAAACGATCATAACTTCTTTCAAACTCATTCATTTAGGAAGCTGAACTCGGTATGAGAAACTACAGGATTCAAGCTTTCTAAAAAGTACCCAAACGTTTCTTAAAGGTCAGTAGTTCAAAAATTAGTCTCGTTGCTACATTTTTTGGCATTCTCCAAGCCATTCTCTTGGGGTTTTTTCA